ATAATATATAGTTAAGAAATATTAATATATAATTAATTAATATTTATTCATAACTAATATTTATAACATTTATATTTTATTTATAATTAATATTAATGAGGGTTATAATTAGAAAAAGTGACAATAAATTACCAAAACGCTACTCTAATTAGCGTTTCAACAAGTTAGTTTATAGGCTATCTTTTGTGCATTCAAACATGTACCCAGAAAATAAGCTAGTTTATTTTTGCCAAATAATATCTTAAATATTTTAGACGTTCAATAAACCTAAGTAATATGATTTTCTTACAGTATTTTTTTTTTGTTTTCAGTTTATTTGACGATGATCAAAATATGCGGTTCAATCTTCATTAATGTGATGTAGGGGTGTTCGCGGTCTGGTTTGGGCGGTTTAACCCCTTAAACCACAAATCAAACCGTAATAGCGGCTTATAAAATTTTCAAACCGAGCGGTTTGACATCAAGTGCCCAGACCGGTCAAACCAGACCACGAAAAGGCGGTCTGGTCTGACCGGTTTAGGCGGTTTGGGCCTTTAATGGACTTTAAATATTAAACTTAAAAAACATATATAATATAGAATTTTAGATTAAATATCCATTTTAATAAAACAAAATATCCAAACAAATAAATATAATAATTAAGCAGCTCTTGAGTTTAAAGTCGAAGCAATCAAAAGTAGAAACAAATAAATATATAACATATTAGAAAACAAACAAATTAACAAAGTTACAACTCTACTCACAACCTTCAATGGTTCAATTCTTGAGTTTTGAGTTCTTGACCAAACAAAATAGAAGCCAWATCTAAGTTGGTTGAATCACTTGGTTGATGTCTTGATGATGTGCGCCGAAATCAAACCATGGATTAGAAAGATCAATAKATTGATGAAGTTCTTGAGGGATTTCAATATTTGGAGACCGTCAATATCAAATGTGTCGATATGTTCAATGGTTTAATGATTTTAGTCGTCGATTTTGATTATGTTAGATGTTAGGCTTAGGGATATATTTGGGTCATAGTCAATAAGTTAAAAAAGTTGGGTTTGCTAATATAGATAAATAAATAAATATATATATATATATATATATATATATTTGGTGGTCGGTTTGGTTCAAACCGCCCAAAAAAGGTTCCAAACCGCAAATCGGACCGGACCGCCCGGTTTTGTTATTTTCCAAACCAGACCGGACCGCCAAACCGCTCAAACCGCCAAAAACGGTCCGGTTTGACTTGGTTCGGCCGGTTTGAGCGGTCCAACGGTTTTTTTGAACACCCCTAATGTGATGAATAACGATTTATTTCTCTTAGAAATTTGTTTTATTTAAATGGCCTATAGACTATTTACATTAATTATTAAGTTAATATCATATTAGTGACAATCGTTTCACTTAAGTCCCTCAATTATGACTTAATGACATGCAGGTCCTTTGACTATCTTGATAAGCGATATCAATCCGTACTGACTGTAACTAACTATAAATATGTGGTTATCTCTTTCCTTAATTCTCTTGATGCTAAAATCGTATATTGACATCTCCTCTTTGTCTTTCACTAAATTCACCATTAATTGGAGATTTAATAACACAAATTCTAACTCCATATTCATTACTTGGCATCAAAGAGATTATCGGGAGTAATCATGGCTTATCTATTAAGACAATCTCAAATGTTCCTGTAAGTAAGTTTTCTATTCATCTTGTAGATTAAACCTTGAATGATTTATGATAATTGCAGTTCGATCCTATTACTGTTTATGTTATTTAATTTAACATTTGATATCAGAGTCTTGTTTTCTATTTAGAGTAAAGTCCCCAGGGGCCGGAAAAATCTTATGCACAATTTACTCGAATAAGAGAGAACCCTATTTCTTAAATATTTTTGGTGGTATGTACCGTTTATGTTTTCCGTGGAAACGCACCACAAATTAATACATAAACTGTAAATGGTGTTCCGTTGCATCAACTATGCAACCATTCCAAGACGTCTAACCACTGTTGTTGTTGGACGTCAAAACATTATCTAATGATTGTTTCGC